GGTCGTCAGTCAAACTTGGCAAAGTTTGGAGATGGAAGGCATCACGCCGAGTCTTTACCAAGCCAAGGTTTACCAGCGCTGGTCCGCGCTCGCTTAACAAAAGATTATAATGCTAGCGTGAACCAAAATCAAATGGCTGAAATTCTTAGGTCACGCGGATTGTGAGTGACCAAAAATCGGTTAGCGATCATGGCTTGCTTAAGCGACCAAGAGCACTTTCACTCGATCAACCAAATCATCCATCACACCAAAAATTTAATTAACACTAAAAGCATTTACAACAATATTCGGGCGCTGGTTAAAGCCGGTATCGTTGACAGTTACACTTTTGACGGCATCTCTAAGTACGCTCTCAGCGACGAGTTGCTCGGTCAAGTGCAGGCGATTCACCTCGTGCGAGATAACCAAAAAGTTGATCACCTGAGCGTCAAGCAAAGCGTTTTTTCAGCTATCACCGCCGAAGTGGAAAAGTCAACCAACCAAAAAGTGCGGGCCATCAAAATTTTTGTCGACCTAGAGTAGTCTAATCTTCGTCGCCAAGTTCCATGGGAATCACCCGGGTGATCACTTGTTCTTCCACGATTGGCGTGGCCACGACTGGCTGGGACGTTTTTTTCTGAGGGCTAGTTTTTTTAGTTTTGGCGACCGGGATTAGATTCGTCAACGTCGGCTGAAAATCTTTTCTTTCATCGTTAAAACGGAGCGACCAAAAGAAAATACCTAAAAAATTGAGCGTTACAAAGTTAAAAATCAGCCAGCCGCGTCTTCAAAACAGCAGCAAATACCACGGCAGATGGCAAAACGCTCAGAGAGAAAAACTCCAAACTAATAATAACGCCGAGCCAAGGCCAATTGCCACGGCGTTAGCGACCGGCGAAATTGGCAGCAGCAAAGTTCGCCAAGTCCGAAAAGATCCGTAAATCGGTTGACCAAGGTACTCTCCCACTTCGTCAAAAAGGTTGAACGAAGCGATCGTAAAACCGACTAGAGCCAGCGCAAAAAGCGCCAAACTGATCGTTAGCAAAGCGATCTTGCCCGCGCCGTGAGTCCATGTTTCGCGTCTAGTCACGATTAGTTCCGTGTCAAGAAGCGTCGCCGCGATCTCTCGTTCAAGCGCCAAAAAATGGTTGTGATTAACGCGGAAGTAGTCGTTGAGATTTTTGAAGTAGATGTTAGCAATTGTTAAGCAAAACGGGGTGATAAAAAGTCAAATTGATGTGCTGTAAATAATCGGTAAGTCAAGCATGATGACCGAGATCACGCCGCCCACGATTAACGGCACGCCGAGCAAACAAAACCAAATCGGCAAAGTCACCAGCGGCGTTCAAAGCGGCAGGGAAAAGAAACTGCAGTTGCGCACGAGAAACTTGTTTTGACGGCTGACGGCCAGGTGAGCTAGACCAGCCGAGTTATCCCAAGGGATAAATTTGTGGATAAAAAACCAGCGCGCCAGGCCGTGGCGCGAACGTTTTAAAAGTTGGATTAGACTGAGGTCCAAAAAGTTGACGATTAAAAACCCGAGCCCCAAGTAAAGGTTAAAAAGTTCCAACTGACGCATTTCAAACTGACCCCAAATTACCACAAAAGGGCAGTTGCCGATTACGACAAAAGGCAAAAAAACTAACACTCTCAAAACAACGTTTTTATAGAGTAAATTTTGTTGGGAAGAAAGGCGCGTCATTTTACCAACATTATAACGCCTGGGCCTGAAAAACTAGCAGCCCAGCGACTCGTGTAAAGCTTGGTAAATTAGCAGTCCACAACCTTGCCGATTTTTGTGCTGACCAACCTTAGCAAGCACGTTAGCTGGCCCAAGTTTTGCGCTCTGGTAAGGCAAAAGCTCAATCATTCGGCGGTAGTTTTCTAACCACTCGCACGCATCGCTGATCTTTAACCCGCGCATTTTTTCAAGCACTAAGTCGGTGCTAGCGATCGCGACGACGCAGCCGTGTCCGCTAAAAAGAGCGGCCTTAACTTGGCCATTCTCGGTTTGGATGGTTAAAGTAATTTGATCGGCGCAGTGCTCAGCTTGGTAAGTGCGCCCAGCCACGCCCGGCAAAGTTCCTTGTCAGCGCGGCTGAAGGTAGCGGTCCATCAAAATTTTTCTCCGCTGGGCCGGATCGTTATACGAGTTCATCTAAAAAGTCACCACCTTCTTTAAGCGCGTCTACAAGCTGGTCAATGTCGCTCTGGTCGTTGTAGCCGCCGATTGAAAGCCGGATTGCGCTGCTGACTTGGTGAGCTCCCGCCGCTAGCGGCGCGCAGTGGTTCCCGCCCCGTAAAATGATGTTGCGGCGGGCTAAGTAGCTGACCACGTCGTGGGCGTTAAATTTTTGGTAGTTGAAAAGGCAAATTACGTCTTCGGGTTGACTATAAATAGTTAGGCCGGGCAAGCTGCTGAGCTGATCGTAGGCGTAACGAGCCAGTTTTTGCTCGGCTTTAAAGTCGCGGTTTTTGAGAAAGTAATCCAGCGCAACGCGAAAAGCCAACAAACCAAAGTGGTCGGGTGTACCGGGCTCATAACGGCTAATCCCGCGGGTTGGCTGCCAAGTTTGACCGCTGACCATTTTAGTCGATCCGCCGCCGAAAGTGACGGGCTGAAGTTGACTCAGCAAGTCATTTTGAACGGCTAAAACGCCGATGCCAGCCGGTCCGTAAAGCTTGTTGGACGAGAAGGCTAACACGTGGGCGTGCTTAAGCGTGACTGGCTCATGAGCGATCGCTTGGGCCACGTCGTTGACCACTCAGGCCTTGACGCGCTGGGCTTTTTTTCAAATCTTACCCACGTCAGTTGGTCAAGCGAGCGTGTTGTTGAGCTGGGCGTAAGCGATGATTTTGGTGCGGGAATTAATCGTTTGGTCTAAGTTTTGAGCGTAAACTACCTTAGCTTGGCGCCGACGGGCCAGTTCTAGTCAAGGGGTAACTTGCGAAGCGTGGTTGTAGTAAGAGAGCAAAATTTGGTCGCCTGACTTGACGAGCGGTTCAAGCATGCGGGCGATTTTGTTTAAACTATCGGTCGTGCTACTCGTGAAAATAATTTCGCTCGGCTGAGCCTCAATCAGCTGGCCTAATTCTAGGCGCAGTTGCTCGATTTGGTGAACTACTTCCAGTCCGAGCGGCGAATCGGAGTTATGGACGTTGAGCGGATAACGCTCGTAAAAATGCGCTAGTTTTTCATAAACGACCCGTGGTTTGAGCGCCGCCGCGGCCGAATCTAGGTAAACTAAATCTTTTAGGATCGGAAAGTCGTGGCGGTTCATTAGTTAACCTCCCACCAAGCAAAGTACTCGGTGTTACCGGCTTTTTTACCCGGCAGACCGGAAGGCAAAAGATCGCGCAGTTTAAAGCCGTGTTTTTGAGCTGAACTAAGCACTTTATCAAGAATGGCGGGGTGCTTGTCGGCGGACACAAAACCGCCTGGCTCAACCGCTTCGCGGCGGGCTTCAAACTGAGGTTTAACGAGCGCGATTAGCGTTGCACCAGACTTTAAAACCGCCCGGATCGCTCCAAGCACACTGGCCAGACTAATGAAAGACAAGTCGCAAGTGACGATGTCAATGCTCATGTCAAACCAACTTGGATCCAAGTTTTTAGCGTTTTTCTTCTCCATCACGACCACGCGCGGATCTTGGCGGATCGAGTAGTCAAGTTGGTTAGTGCCAACGTCAAGCGCCCAGACGCGCTGGGCTCCCTGGGCCAGGGCGACTTGGGTAAAACCGCCCGTACTGGCACCGATGTCCAAAACGTTTTTAGCTTGGAAATCCAGTTTTCAAACCGCCAGCGCTCCGATTAGTTTTTCGGCTCCGCGCGAAACCCAGCGCGGTCGCAGTTTGACATGAATTTTATCGCTGCTTTTAACCGCTTGCCCGGGTCAAATTTCCACCTGGTGGTTCACGTAAACTTGTCCGGCCTGGATCAGTTTTTGAGCCCGCTCAACTTGGTAACCTTGGCTGACCAAGTAATCAACCAACTTCACTAGGTCAGCTCCTTTAAAACGGCCCGCACTTGCTGGTTATAGGCTGGGCTATAACAGTCAAGCGAGTCGAGTCAATCTGCGTAGTGGCGCCGTTTTTGACGGTTAGCCGCCAGGTAAGTCTTGGCGCTGTAGATGTTGGGTTGGTTTTGCCGCCGATCGCGGTAAAAAGTTGACATTTGGTAGACGTGCCAAAGAAAGTAACTCCAAGCTTGTCAGTTAATTTGGCCGGGTATGACCTGGGCCAGTTTGGCAAAGGCGGCTAGAAACATGTTAGGTCCAACGGGCGTCTCAAGCAACGACTTTTCGCCGGCTAAGCAAAAATCAACCGGCAAACTGGGGTCAAAAATGAGCGCAGTTTTGGTAAAAATTAGTCGCATTTGCGCGTGGTTAAACCGCCGGCAGTACTCTTTTCAGACGGCGAGTTTTTTAAGTTTTTGGCGCACGGCCTTTGTTTTTGACATGCTCACCATTAATTTTATCTAAAACCGAGTGGATGTACTGGTAGGCAGCGCTGGGGATTAGTTGTTTAGTCAGTTCGACTAGTTCGTTAATTACGAGCGCGGCGTGGTTAACACCAAGTTCGTAAGTTCCGAAGATTAAAATTGCTCTCTCAAGCGGAGCGATCCGTTCCCAAGTTCAGCGCTCGGCCAAATGTTTTTCAACCAAGTTTTTTAAGGCTTGGTAAGACGCACATATCTGGTCCAGCGCGGCTAAACTTTGCGCGTCAAGTTGGCCGCTTTCAAAACCTTGGCCGCAGTTGGGCGATTGGTCAAAGAGTTCAGAGCGGTAGAGAAACTGGACGATTTGCAGGCGCTGACCGCGGGTGAGTTTACTTTTTGGCATCGTGACTTTGGATAATTTTGGCGACCCGATCGGTCAGTTTTTTGAGACTAAAACCGAGGTGATCGTAAACTTTTTGACCCGGTCCCGAAGCTCCAAAGCGGTCAATGCCAAGGTTGTAACGGGCCCATTTTTGCATGCCGTAGGTGCTGGCTGCTTCGATCGAAATGGCTTGGTCGGTGTTTCAATTAACTTTGGCATTGGCGGCGTTAACGAGCGAAACGCAGTTCAAGTTTAACGTTTGACTAATTTGGTAAGCGAGCACTAGCTCGCTGCCGCTAGCCACGAGCGTCCACGGCTTTTGCCCGGCCTTAACTAGGTAAGCCCCCCTTTTAACTTTGGCTTGGCTGGTGGCTGGTAAAGAAATAATTTTTTGACGGGTTAAAACGATTACGCTCGGCCTAGTTTGGCTCGCTAAAGCCGCTTGGTAAGCTCCGCGAACTTCTTTTTCGTCCGCCGGTCGAAATACATTCACGTTCGGCGTCGCGCGCAGCATCGCCAGCTGTTCAACCGGCTGATGGGTCGGCCCGTCTTCGCCGACTTGCACCGAGTCGTGGGTTAAGACGTAGATGACCGGGAGCTGCATCAAAGCTGCTAGACGCAGAGCCGGCTTAAAGTAGTCGCTAAAGACAAAGAAAGTGCTCACAAACGGTCTTAAGACGCTGTGGAGTGCTAAGCCGTTGGCGATTGCTGCCATGGCAAACTCTCTGACGCCGAACAAAATATTACGTCCTTGTCGGTGCGAAGGTTTAAAATCGCCATCACCGCCGCGGGCTTGGGTTGAACTAGTTAAGTCGGCCGATCCGCCGATTCAGTTGGGCAGCGTTTCGTTTAAAAACCCGATCACCCGGCCCGAACTAGCCCGGGTCGCCAGGTTAGGCTCGATCGGTACGTTAATTTGCCGGGGCACAGCCGTTTTTAAAAACTGGGCTAGCCGGGGCGAGACTTTAAACTTAGCGCGCGCTTTTTGGCCGCGTTTAAGCACTTTATCGCGGTAGAATTTGGCGACTAACTCGGGCACGTCAAACTCTCCTAAGTTTCAGTCGAGACTTTCCTTAACGCTTTGAAAATCATCGCCGAGCGGAGCGCCGTGCACGCGGGGCGTGCCGGCTAATTTGGCGCCGTGACCAATGATTGTTTTAACTTCGATAAAACTGGGACGATCGCTGGCCTGGGCCTTTTGAAGTGCCTGGTCGATTTGATCGACTTGGTTGGTTTCAACGCGTAAGTACTGAAAACCAATCGCGGTCATGCGCTGGGCTAAGTTTTCGCTGAAAACGTCTTGGACGTGCGTGTCAAGTTGAACGTCGTTAGAATCGTGGATCACGATCAGTCGCCCTAATTTTTGGTGACCGGCCAGCGAAAGAGCTTCCATCGCCACGCCCTCTTGGAGATCGCCGTCGCCGCAAAGTACGTAGGTGTGGTGGCTAATTTCTTTAAAGCGGGCCGCTAAGTGAGCCTCAGCGATAGCTAGACCGACTCCGACGGCAATGCCTTGCCCGAGCGGACCGGTGGTAGCTTCCACGCCGAGCGTCAAACCGTGTTCGGGATGACCAGGCGTTAGACTACCTAGTTGGCGGAATTTTTTGAGCTCCTTTTCGGACACAAGACCCATCAGTCTCAGCTGGGCATAAAGGAGCGCCGAGCCATGACCAGCCGAAAGCACAAAGCGATCGCGGTTAATTCAAGTCGGATCGCTAGCGTCAAACTTGAGATGGCGACTAAAGAGCGTGTGGATAATCGGCGCCGCGCCGAGCACGATCCCGGGGTGACCCGAGTTAGCCCGGTTCACCGCCGCCACGCCGTTAACTTTGAGCGTTTTAATCGCGAGTTCGTCGATCAGTTTTTGAGTGGCCACGCTTACCTTTCAACCACGTCAATTTTAACGTTGGTTGCTTTGCCGTCGATTAAGCTGGAGCACAAATCATCTAACTCTTCTTCCAGCGTTTGAATAATCGGACAAAGCTGGGCTTGACGGGGAACTTCAACTTTTAATTCCAACCACAAACTTTTGCTGGGCTGGGAGATTTTAACCTCAACATCGATTAGTTTAGCTTCTTTGTAGTACTCAAAAACGTGGCGCACCGCTTGGTAAAAAGCGGTTGTTTCGACAAAATACTGCTGGCCAACCGAGTAGTCAACGGGAAAAAACTGGTGCACTCTACTTGCCTTTCCCCACGTACTTACCAGTCAGGGTTGAAACAACCACTTTTTCCCCGGTTTTAATGAACATCGGCGTTTCTAACTCGTAGTTAGTTTCCAAAATGACTTTCTTCTGGGGATTGCTCTGGGTGTTGCCCTTAACCGCGTCGGGAGCCTCGATCACTTCTAATTCTACGTGAGCAGGCAGTTCCAGACCGAGCACCTCACTGCCAAACATTCTCAGTTCCATCGCCATTTCCGGTTTAATGAAATTTAACTCCCAACTGATTTGCTCGACTGGGAGAGAAATTTGCTCAAAGGTGTCCTGGGTCATCACGATCACAAAGTCGCCCTCGCGGTAGAGAAAGTTAACGTTTTTTTTGCTAATGTGAGCCGGCGTGATTTTTTCTCCGCCTCCGAAAGTTTTGATAACCACCGCGCCGGTTCGCAAGTTTTTGACTTTCGCTTTCACGTTGGCTTGGCCCCGCCCTTGTTTAGAGTGTTGCGACTCCAGGACCACGTAAATTTCGTTTCCGTCTTGAAAAGTTAGCCCGGGTTTAAAAGTGTTGACATTTATCATGGTTAACAGAAATTATAAACTAACTGCGCGAGAGAACTTGGTGGCCGCCCGGAGTTACTAAAACGTCGTCCTCGATTCTGACTCCGCCTAGGTTAGGAATGTAAATGCCTGGCTCGACCGTGATGACCATGCCCGGTTTAAGTTCAGTCTCTTGGGCCGACTGGTTAGATACGTAAGGAAGTTCGTGGACGTCAATGCCTAGTCCGTGACCAGTCGAGTGGACAAAGTACTTGCCATAGCCTTGTTCGGTGATGTAATCTCGGCAAATTTTGTCAATCGCGCTCGTTTTAACGCCGGGCTTGACAGCTTGGATGCCTTGGCTCTGGGCTTCGCGGACCACTTTTTCAATTCGCAAAAGTTCAGGGTTAGTCACTTTACCAACGTGAAAATTGCGCGTGATATCGCACGCGTATCCTTGGTAAAGAGCGCCAAAATCAATCGTCACAAACTCGCCTTCGGCCAGCACTCGCTGGCTGGCTCGGCCGTGGGGCAACGCCGAGCGCGGTCCCGAGGCGATGATGGCGTCAAAGGAACTTTTGTCGGCTTGACCTTGCCGGAGAAAAAACTCCAGTTTGGCGTCCAGTTCTTTTTCGCTCACCCCGGCTTTAATGTGGGGTTTAAGTTTTTCAAGCGCTTGCAAAGCAATCAACGCCGCCCGGCGGATCAGTTTAATTTCGCGGGTCGTTTTAACGATCCGGAGTTTTTGGGCCGAGATTGGCACGATTTTAGCGCTCGGAAACCAAGCCTTAATTTTTTCGATTTCGGCGAAAGTGGCGTACTCCCTTTCAATGCCGATTCGCTGGTAACGAGCGGCCTGGCAAAAACTGAAGATTGCCTGGCTCGTTCAAAGTTTGACGTCGGCGTTTTTAGCCTCGGCCTGGGCGTGTTGAAAGTAACGTCCGTCAACAAAAAGCGTGTGTTTTTGAGCCTCAATGAAACTGAGTCCGGCCGAAGTGCTAATTTGGCTCAGTCAGAGTCTAGTTTGGTAGCTAAACGAAACAATTACGTCCAGTTTTTGGCGCTGGAAAAATTTTTCAATCATTAAAGTTTGGTCGACCAAAACGCCCTACTTCTTTTCGCGGTACAAAGTGTAGCGGCGAACTTTGGGGTTGTACTTACGCACCTCAAATCGCTCGGGGTGGAGTTTTTTGTTTTTGGTGGTAATGTAAGTTTCTTGACCAGTTTCGGTGCACTTGAGAATAATGCCTTCTCTTGCCATGTTAATTCCTTTCCTAAGTTAACCTAACGTTTTTTAAGGTTGTAGAGTCGTTTTCTTAAGTCTTTAATTTCGCGTTCTTTCTGACGACTAATCGCATCGTAGTAGTGATCAAACTCTTTTTGCCGCTCTTCCTTGCTAACGGTGTAAGAAATTTCAAGCGAGTCGCTGGAAAACTGGGCTAACAAGCAGAGAATGTTTGATAAAAGCGGTACAAAAACGAACAGCAAAAAGAGTTGGTCAAACAGCCCTCGTTCGCTCGTGCGAACGATTTGGAGGCCGATTATCCAGGAAGACAAAACTAAACCGAACGAAATGTAAACGAGCACCGAAACCGTCAGTCCGCCCGGGTTAGAAAGTCGGAAGGTTAAAATTTCCTTCAGCAGTTCAATCCAGCCGTAACGCATCTCGGTGATACTAATGTCGGTCGTCCCGCCGACTAACAGTTCGCCCGGCAAAGTTAGAATCAACAAAAAAGTCATTCCCATTACAAAGTAGGAAATGAAAGTCACGAATTGAAACGTGGCGTAAATTTTACTTTTTCGGGAAAGAACTTTCTCTTTCATAGTTAAAGTTTAGCAAATTTGGGGTGTTGAAAAGCAACGTATGGTGGAGATGCCGGGAATCGAACCCGGGTCCACGAACAGTTCGGGTGGCTAACTCTACAGTTTAGTTACGATTGGAGTTAATCGACTAGTCGTAAATCGTAACCAAAGTTGACCAATCGATCCAACTTAAATTCGCTAGCGTTAAGTTGGCTCTCACTAGTATATTCCCGTTAGTTGACAAACCAGACGGGGACGGGAAACCACCGTCGGCTTGCTAGCAATTAACTAAGCAAAAGCTAGAGAGTTATTTGTTTGAGCCGCTTTAGCAAGAAATACTTCTTGGGCAAGTTGCTCGGTAGATTTTTCGTTTCCGTTTATAAAAACCTAGCGCCTTAAGGTTTGCAGACCACTGCCTTAACCACTTTTACTGACCATGTCAAAACCACTACATCCCCGCTTAATAATACTGGCGGTTTTGGCGGATTTGATCGCGCTCCTTAATTTTTTCTCGTTTATCAACTTTGCTTTTGCCCCGACCGAGCGCGATCGTCAGTTTGACTAGTCCGCGGGGTGAAAGCGTCAGAGTTACCGGCACGATCGTTAGACCACGCATTTTTTGACCAAGCGCCAACTTGCGTAACTCCTGTTTTTTAAGCAGCAGTTTACGGTCGCGTTTTTCGTTTCCTTCGGCGTTCATGTAACGGTCAACGTGCATGTTAGCCACAAAAAGTTCGTGTTTCCTAAATATGCAGTATGACCCGCGCAAGTCAACGTTTTTTTGACGAATTGACTTAACCTCCCAACCCTCTAAAACTAGTCCGGCTTGGTAAGTGTCAAGCAAGTCAAAATTTCACCTTGCTAAGGGGTTTTTTGCGATTACTTTCGCCACGGATAACTCTCTAGCCTAAAAATTAAAGACCTATTTTTAGGCAACAAAATTATACCAATTCTTAACCCAAAAAACTCGTTTTTTGCCGCTTAATTTCGGGTTTTTTTTGAAAGATTTAAGACGTTCCGTGCAGTTTAAAAAACCGGCTTTGAGACGTCGGCGAGAACAACGTTAAACGCGTCGTCTCAGAAAAAACGCCGGCAAAATAACCCAACTTCAGACGCTGTTTGTATAATTAAAAAAGTATTTATGCGACCAACTAAACACCAAATTCGCACGGTTACGTTTTGAAAAAGTCTCGGCAGTTACTACCGGATCCACTGGAAACTTTTCACATTTATGGTCGTTTTTACTTTGCTTGGTTCAGCGATTACTGTCTTCATTCCTAAGGCGGTTAACATGTTGCTTGAAAGTCAAAGTTTTACCTGGAAAACAGTCGGAATTTTTAGCGCGGTTGTTTTTAGTTTAATCATCGGTCTTGGGCTAGCGATGTACCTCCGGCGCCTAACGGCCAACTTCTTGGCCCGTCGGATTGAGATTGGCTACCGCAATCAAGTACTCGGCCATTTGCTCGGATTAGACATTGCTTACTACGAAAAGCATCCGTCGGGTGAAATTATCACGAAGGTTATCAATGACACTAGCATCGTGGCCGAAAACTCGAAAGAAATCCCGGTTTTGTTTCTCAGTTCAATCGCGACTTTCATCGGCTCTTCAATTGTGATGGTGTTGATTGAATGAAGGCTGACGTTGGTGATTTTTGTGACGGTGGTTTTGATTTTGCTCGTGGCGGGACTAACTTTCGGAATTTTGCGGCGTTGGTACCGCAAACTACGCAAGACTTACACCAACGTTAACGCCAAAGCGCTCGATCGTCTGAACGTGGTGCGCCTAATCAAAGCCAACGCTTCGGAAGATTACGAAATCAACTACTTTAACGATTTGCACCGCGAGTACAACCGGGTTGGTCGTTCGGTCGACCAGCGCGAAAGTTTGACGTTCGGAATTTTTATGACTGCCATTAGCAGCATTAACATCATCGCGGTTGTCGCCGGAATCATTTTCATTACGTTTGGACTAATTAAACCGAGTGAGATAGCGACTAAGTTCGTGCCTTTTGTTCTTTCGACCAACACGCTGATTTTTCCGATTTTTCAGACCATCGGCGTGCTCGGTCGCCTGGCTTCAACTACGATCTCCATTCAGCGTCTCGAGTCGCTGCTTGAGCAAAAAAGCGAGATTGTCGTCCCGGATCGCCCCCACAAAGTGAGACGAATCGAAAAGGACATCGTTTTTGAAAACGTCTGCTTCGCTTACAAAGCGGAAAAATACATCTTGGAAAACTTTTCTTTTCGCTTCAAACGCAACAAAAGTTACGCGTTAGTCGGCACGACCGGGGCGGGCAAGACGACGATTTCAAAACTCTTACTTCGTTTTTACGATCCCCAGCGCGGACGGATTTTGATTAATGGCCACGATTTAAGGAAAGTTGACCTCAAGAGCTACCTTAGTCGGGTTGGTTACATTGAGCAGGAACCAGAAATTTTTAACGGCACGATCGCCCAAAACATAACTTACGGCAGTTTTGACGCTAGTCCAAGCGAGATTGAAACCGCCGCCGAAAAAGCTAATCTGGCCAATTTTATCGCTTCTTTACCGGCCCAGTACGAAACGATCGTGGGCGAAAAAGGCTTCATTCTTTCGGGCGGACAAAAGCAGCGGATTTTGATCGCCCGCATGCTACTTAAAAACCCCGATTTAATTATCTTAGACGAAGCGACCAGCGCCCTGGATAACATCGTAGAAAGACAGATCCAAGCTCAACTAAATCAACTAGCCGCCGGCCGAACGAGCATTATCATTGCACACCGCTTGTCAACAATTCAAAACGTGGACCAAATTTTGGTTTTAGCTCATGACAAAGGTCTCGTGCAAGTCGGGACTTTTAGCGAACTGGTTAAAAAACCCGGTTATTTTCAAAAACTTTACCAGGCTGGTTTGATGAAAACCTAGGCGACCTTGGTTAAAATTAGGTGGTGTTTTTAAAAGCGGCTAGTTGGAAAATTTTTGGTTCGGTTGAGCCGGGCGTTTTGATTGCTTTGGGAGTAATATTTATCTTACTCGGGCTAGCTTGTTTGCTTTTTTTGCCTAGCGCTCACCGCAGGGCCGAGCGCTACAAAAAGATGCAGCTTGAGCGCTACCGGCAAACTTACCATCGACCCAGCGCCCAATACGGTCAAACTGGCATGTACTTGCCGGCTTGGGAGCGGGTTAAACTTTTTAGTCCGATTTTTTTTGCGCTCGTTTTAATCATCATTGGCGTGGCGTTGTTAGCTAACCTGTAACGTCATTTTGGGCTTCTAACTGGGTAGATTAACTTAATTAATCAGCGCGGGTGAAAAACCTGTCTTGACAAATAAGTTCCAAAACTATTCCACCTATCCGATTGATTTCAAGGTCTAGCCAGCTCGAAGAAAACATCATTTGATCCGGTAAACCACCGAGTCCAACTGGCAATTGCAACCAAGTGGTTAGTTTGCTAGATCAACTAGCGGTGGCAGGAATCAAGCCCACCATTGATGACCCGAGCACCGAAAAGGCGAATTTGACGCGGGCATGGGATTAACCATCAACGGTGCGCGTGGCACTTCCAACCGCGCTTTTCCCGGTCTATTTACCATTTCCGGTTTCAAAAAGAGTGGTTAGGCTGCATTTTTTGCTTGAAAAAACCGGTCAAAAGTACTAAATTGGAAACAATTTCAGCCGGCATTTTTTGAATTTTTGGGGTGCTATAATTTGGTTGCTCCCAGTTTGTCAGCAAACTCGGAGAAAGTTTTTAGAAACGGTAGGTGGAAGAAATTCACACTCTAATCTCCAAATTATTTCACCGCAGAAAAAAACCGTCCCAGGTCGTTTTAAACGGTCAGCAAAAAAAAGGTAATTTCCGAAAATTTCTCTCCAAAATTTCCGGTTCTTTTATGCTGCCTATTTCCGTCATGGCCATCGCGGGTTTGTTTCTCGGTGTGGGTGCAACAATTGCTACCCAAGCTAAAGGCGGAGTTGCCGATGCCACTAACGCGGGCGTTAAGTTCGGACAGTTCATTCAAATGCTCGGCGACCCTATTTTTGCCGCCATGCCGATTTTATTCGCGGCGGCGATCGTAGTCGCTTTTACCGACGAAGCTGGTGTCGGAGTTTTTGCGGCTATCATCGGTTTTTTAATTTTTTCAAGTTTGCAGTCCATTTTCATTGATGAGGTGGTTGACCAAGAAAAACAACTGGTCGGCTACCGCGTTCTTTTTGAAGCGGGTGGTCGCGACGCGGCTTCGCTCAAAAATCTAGTTGGATCTAACCTAGGTATTCGTTCCTTAAACACCTCGGTTTTCGGTGGTATTATCGTCGGGGCAATCACGGCATTTTTATACAACCGTTTTCACACCATTCAACTGCCGCAGGTAATTTCATTTTTTGGCGGTAAACGGTTTGTTTCCCTAATTGTAATCGTGGCGATGGTGCCGCTTGCTTTCCTATTCTTGCTTCTTTGACCGTGGGTTGGTAAAGCTTTGTCGGTTTTTGGCCGCGCCTCGGGGAAAATACCCTACGGTTTTGACTCATTTATCTTTGGCTACGTTGAGCGTTCGCTGATTCCTTTCGGTCTGCACCACGTGTTTTACGCACCGCTTTGGTGATCTGACGCGGGCGGGAACGGACTGGTCGAGATGCAAAACTGGATCGACCGGGTTAAGCCTGCGGCTGGCCAAGGTAACTGGGAAGAGTTTTTTAAACTACTCAAGGAGTCAGAAAGTAAATCAGTCGGTGACTCTCTGCTTTGGATTACGGTCAACTCTTTCCACAGCAACACCGTCAGTTGGGTTGCCAACGGTCAGAGTCATGAGTTAGCTGTTTTTGACTTTGTTAGTCGCGAACTGGGCATTCGCTTAGGTCGTTTCATGCAAGGTAAGTTTGGTTTTATGATTCTCGCTTTGCCAGCCGCCGGCGTGGCGATGGTTTTAGCGGCTCCGCGCGAAAACCGCAAAGTCGCGCTCGGAACGGTCTTTCCGGCTTGTTTAACCGCTTTTTTAACCGGCGTAACCGAGCCGATTGAATTCACTTTTCTATTTCTAGCGCCGTGGCTGTACTGAGGGTTTCACGCTTTAATGGCGGCGATTTCGTTTTGGTTAATGAATCTTTTTGGCGCTCACATCGGAATGACCTTCTCGGGGGGGGCGTTAGATCTGATTATTTACGGTGCCATCCCGGTTGCGAAAGGCACTTATTTCTGGTGGGCGATTTTGATCGGTCTAGTTTACATCCCGATTTATTTCTTCGCTTTCTACTTTGCGATCAAACGCTTCAACTTGCCAACTCCGGGTCGGGGCGAAAACGCGGTTCTTTACACTAAAGCCGATTACCAGGCTCAGCAAAGTTCCCGGCACGGGCCGCAACCGGGTCAATCAACCGATCGGCAAGTCAACTTAGTGGTCGAAGGTTTTGGCGGCTGGGATAACATCAAAACTTACACGAACTGCGCCTCACGCCTTCGTTACGATGTTTATGATCCGGCCAAAGTCAACGAAAGTAAGTTTAAGCAGGCCGGTGCTTTCGGAGTTCAAAAAGTTGGTCAGCACCACTACCAAATTATCTTTGGTCCGGCTAGCGAACAAATTAACGCCAAAATTATGGCGGCTCGAGGTAAAACTATGGCAGTTTCAACCCCCACTTTTGAAAAACAAAAAACCGCTTCCAGCGAGACAGTCAAATTGACTAAAATTGACGTTAAAGGTGTGGTACCCGGTCGGTCAATGAGTCTTAAGTCGCTCAAAGACGGCGTGTTTTCGGAAAAGATTATGGGCGATGGTTTGGCGATCATGCCGAAAGTGAGCAGCAAGCAAATTTTCTACGCTCCGATCAGCGGTAAACTCGTGACCGTTTTCCCGACTGGCCACGCCTACGGAATTCAAAATTCGCAGGGAGTCTCGGTGCTAGTCCACATCGGGATTGACACGGTTAATTTGCGCGGCGAAGGGTTTAAGTCGCTCGTTCGGCAAGACCAAGTCGTCACGGCCGGTGATCCGCTCGCCGAGGTGAACCTAACTTTAGTTAAGAAAAAGGCTCCTTCAATCGCGACGGTGGTCGTTCTAACGCCCGATTCCAAGGGCAAAGCTAAGTCAATCATGGCGAGCGGCCAAAATGTTAACCAAGCGAGCACGATTTTCAAAGTCAGTTAGCCTTTTTTAAGTTTAAAAACAACCTCGCCTCAGCGCCGGGTTGTTTTTTTTGACCGGTTATTCAAAAAATCGTTATAATGAATTCCGCTCACTACTAAAGTGCCATTTTTAGATGTAAGTTCTGATCTGAAACTAGTTGAAAACTTAACCAATTACTTTTAACCAAAGTATGAATTGGCTATTTGCGACAGAGAGGAGCTTCCATGGCGAGAAAAAGTTTAAAAAAACCGCTAATTTGACTAGTTTTAGCGCCTTTTTCGCTTACTCCTGTTTTAACAACTGTCGCTTGTTTGCAACTACCTGTCAAAGTAGAGGATCGCGATCAAGGCGATGACCTTGTTTTAAAGCCCGGCGGTCAAACAAAGCTGCCAAAGTCTAAGCAAGAGAACAAACCGAACCCAGCCAGGGAGTTAGACCGCGATAACAACCCGGAGATTAACGGGTCTTACCAAACTCTCTCCAATAGAAAAACCAAGGCTTTTTGACTGGGTAGATCTTATTCGGCTAACGACTTGGGGATTGACAAACCGACCGCGGAAAACTGTCTTTTTAAGGTGGTTGACATCGATGACTTAGCCGGAACTTTGACAGTCGATGTTTATTTAAAGTCTAAGCCTGGCAGCACTAAACCGGTACTTTTGACCAGTCGAGTACCGGTCCACGGCTTTAAAAAAACGACCGCTTCAGAATTGTTGAATTGGCACGCAATCATCGCAGTTGGCAAGTATATAGACAATGATGTGATCGAAATTGCTCCATCGACTGCTTTTGTGTCCCCATCTGTTTTGGCATCCAAAAAAAATCTTAGTGTTAACGATCTTCATTTGGAAAGTTACTTTAAATACCGCCGCTTAGACCACCGAATTGAGATCAAAAAATTTGATGATAAACGAGGGACGTTGGAAGGCGACATTTTCTTTCAGTTGCAAGGTAAAGAAGATCGGTGTGTTTTCAAAATTTTAATCAAAAAACTCTTCGTCTTTGTTCAACATTTAGGGCATCCACGTAAAATCGTTAAGAACCAAAGATAACTGGCACAACCATTTTAATTCGTGCAAGTACTAAAAAGTCTGCCTTTGGAAGGCAGACTTTTTTAGATCTACTTGACTTTAATTAACCAAGTACTCTAACATTTTTGGCGCGTTCTTTGCCATCAATGGTTTCAATGTCAAACTCCACTCGTTGGTCTTTGGATAGTTTACGAAAACCATCGCCATCAATGGCGCTGAAGTGAACAAACAAATCTTGCTCGCGACCTTCAACTCCGATAAAACCAAACCCTTTTTTGTCGTGGAAAAATTTAACAGTGCCTTGCATATTCAATCTGACTTCCCTTCTGTATACTAACTTCAGAGAAATCAATATACAAGCATAATTATAGAGATTTTTACCGAAAAACCGCGGTTTTTCTTGTCTAACTGACAAATTAAACCAACGATTTATAAAAATTTTCAAGGTTAGAATCGGTTATTTTGAGCGCACTCTTTAAACCGGATGGTTGTCTGTTTTGGTCGTAGAGCAAACTTTGGTGTTGGTAAAAACTGGGTTCCCCGATCGCTTGGAAGTATTCTTGACTAGAAGTTTGGTAAATTTGGAGATTTTTCAGCGCCGCGTCTTTATCGTAGCGGTTGAAAAAAACCTTGGCTATTTTAGGTTTGACCGGGTTAGTTTGGCTGGCTTTTCCAGTCCCTAATCCGACTAGGGCGATCGTATCGTCAGTCAGTCCGAGTTTATCTTGGCTAGCCCGGTCAAAAGTGGCGGTCGAACCAATGTAGGAGACGCCGTAACCCCAGTCGATCAAAACATCGTGAATTTGACCGGCCACGATTCCAGCGTCAAGCACCATCCGGCTGTACTCGTAAAAGCGTTCGTAAACGGGCGTTTGACCGTTGATCTGGGCGATGATGTGGTTTTGACGCGTGCGGTCTAAAACAACTAGCAAAATTAGCGCCGCTTGGCAAAGGTGGTTTTGACGGGTAACTTGGCAAATCATCTTAATCAAACTGTCTTTCTCGATGATCACAACGCTAAACTGCTGACTGTTAAAGGAAGTCGGCGCGTTGTTGATCACTTGTGCTAACTGCTCAATTTCTTGTTCCGAAAGTTTTGAGTCTTGAAAATGCCGGACCGATGCCCGCCGAATTAGTTTTTGACTAAGGTGCCTCATTAGTCTCTCCTTTCAAGAGTGCTATTTCGCGCTGGTAGGGCGGATGGTCATCAATTCAAGGCGTTTCTAAAATCATGACCGCCTGGCGGAAAGCTGGGTGTCAAACTATTTCCCGCAAAGTTGGGAGCCCGATTTGTCCTTGTCCAAGGTTAGCATGGCGGTCTTTATGCGACCCGAGTCCGTTTTTGGAATCGTTAACGTGAAAAACCGCGATTTTATCGATCAGTTTTAGGTCTTGCAGTTCACGGACTAATTTGTCCACGTTTTGAATGTCAACGCCGCTGTCCCAAACGTGACAAGTATCGAAGCAAATTCCTAGCCGCGGGTGGTTGACTAGGTCAAGAATTTGCCGGAGTTGTTTGAAGTTAGTGCCGATCTCGGTTCCTTTGCCGGCCATTGTTTCGAGCAAAATGGTGACTTTTTCCGAATTAGCTAGCACCGCTTGGAGCGTCTTGACGAGTTGGCGGATGCCGGTCTGAGGACCAGCTTTGAGACAGGCGCCCGGGTGTAAGACTAGGTACCGAGCTCCGAAGGTGTTCATTCGCTTGGTTTCGGCAATCAAATAGTCGCGGGCAAACTCCCACTTGGATGGGCTGGCTGGGTTGATGATGTAAGGCGCGTGAATGATCAAATTTTCGGGCGCAATTAAGTGCGCTCACTGGCTTTGATAAGTCTTAGTTCGGTAAAGCTCGGAACTAACTCGGCGCGCGTTTTGAGGCGGTCCAAGGTGGAACATACAGGCGTTAGCGCCGTAACTAAGCGCTTCGCGAACCGCACCTACTAAGTAATTCGGGTGGCAAAAACTGACGTGGCATCCGATCTTTGGTGGGGGTAGTTTTTCGGGCATAGGTGGTTAATTTTTAAGAACGCTGACGTGTTCTTGGACGTTAATTTTTTGACTTAGGCAAGTCAGTTTGGGAAATTTTTGGTTCAGCAAAGCGCTGATGTGATCCGCGAATACGTTCTCTATGCTGTGACTCAGAGATACTAAGCGAATGTTTTGTTGCTCGCAAACTAGTCAAGTTGACCATTTCACGTCCGAAGTTAAAATCGTTTGGGCGCCTTGCTGATGGGCGAGCAATATGTCGCGCACATCGCTAGCACCGGGCAAAATGGCGATTTTATGTTCGTCCGAGCGGGTGTTTTTCGGGACGGCAAAGTTGGAGCGGAAAATTTCGATCCCTAGTTTACGTTTAATTAGTTCAAAGATTTGGTACATCGATAAATTGGTCGTTAAAATGGCGCCGGCCCGGTAAGTCCCGATCGCGCGCACGCTCGCAAAGGAGAGCGTCTCAACAACTTGTTCGCTCATGCCTTGCCAAATTAAATCGTAGTTGGTGTGGGCAACTAAGAGGCCGATTCCGGTGTTAACTAGTCGCTTGTGGATCAGGTGTTTATAAGGCGCTTTTTGCCACTCTAGATCAAGCGAAACTTCGTAGAGAAAGGGGTGGTGAACAATAATTAGATCGCACTGCTCGCGCACCGCTTGATCCATCACTTCGGGCGTTAGGTCAAGGGCACTAATCACTTTTTCAACCGGCTTGTGGGGACTGCCATAAATTAAACCAACGCGGTCACCGGATAAAGCTTTGCGGTAGGGGAAGAGTTGACCGATGAACTTGACCACGTGACTAGTTTTGAGCATATTTACATGTTACGGTAAAAATCGCGCAGTTTCCGGTGGTTTTGGGGTTGACGAAGACGCCGGATCACTTTCGACTCAATTTGCCGAATTCTCTCTTTGGTCACATCAAACTTTTCGCCCAGTTCTTCAAACGAGTGGGGTCGGTTTTTTTCTTTGTTTTGATCGTAACCAATTCCGTAGCGGAGCATGATGATTTCTTTTTCTCTTTCGTCGTGGATGTAACGACTAATCGTTTCAAAGAGCAGTTTCTGGAGTTCCTCGCGCGATGAGTAATCAATCGGTGAAATTGACGACTCATCTTGAACAAAGTCTGAGAAAGAAGAGTCATCCTCCTTACCGATTGGTTTATCAAGCGAAATGGGGTCGATGTTAATTTTGCGGATGTAACGGACTTTTTCGGCGTCAAAGTCGCCACCAGCCCGAGCCGCGATCTCTTCATCGGTCGCGCTGCGACCGAGCTCCTGGTAAATGTCGCGTTCAATTTTAATGATTTTGTTGATCGTTTCGACCATGTGAACCGGGACACGGATAATGCGCGCTTGGTCAGCGACGGCGCGCGTAATCGCTTGGCGGACTCACCAAGTCGCGTAAGTTGAAAACTTGTAACCTTTGCGGTATTCAAATTTGCTGACCGCCTTAATTAGCCCGGAGTTACCTTCGGAAATAAGGTCAATGAAAGATAGTCCGCGGTTTTTGTACTTTTTGGCGTTATTGACGACTAGCCGCAAGTTGCGTTTGATCAACATGTCGCGGGCCTTTTTGCCAGCCCGACCGCCCTGCTCAATTTTCTTTGTCAGTTCAATTTCTTGGTCGTGAGTTAAAAGTTTGCCGTACTTTCCGATTCAACGCATGTACCACTTGACAATGTCGTCGGTTTCGGTCAGTTTGTTAACCAGTTCCAAATCGCCAATCTCCTGGGTTTGCTCGATGTCGTCCAGCGAAATTTCTTTCGTTTCGTCGTAGTTAACCAGGCCGATCTCCTGGGTAAAATCTTGACTTTTAAAGTCGTCAAAGTCGTGCGGGTCGACTTCGTCAAGCAAAATGTCAAGTTCAATCAGCGTTTCAAGTAAATCGTTTGTCGCCTCATCGTCGAGGGCGATGTTCTTTTTTTCGAGGTATTTGTAAACTTGCTCCTGGGTTAAATGACCTTGACGGGCGGTTTTTTTAACTTTGATTAAGTCTTGAACAATCGTCATAAACTGGGGTGGTACAAAAACTTTTGCCATCTTAATTGTTCGTTCCTTTTTTGAGTTTGATCTGCTCTTTTAACAGCTTGAGCGCCACGTCGGAATCTTTGGTTTGGTCAAGCGAACGCTGGATTTGCCGTTGCAATTGGCGACGGTTAATCCATTTTACGCGGTCAAGGTAGGCCTGAAACTCATCCGGTGTTTTAGCGATTATACCACTTTCTTTAATAATTTCTTGGCATTTTTGCTTGATTTTCTCCGGAATAAGCGGTTTTTGGGCGTAGTTGACGATGTAGTTAGCGATTAAATTGAGATCGGGATTAACTAAGACCAGTTTGCTCTCGGTAAAGAGATTGATCAAGCGGGCGTTTTTAAGCATCGAGCGGATCAAAATCTTTTCAAAGTCGGGCGGCGGTACTTGCGTTGGCTTGTCTAAGCGCTTGGTTGGACTGTTTGAAACTGAACCGCGATTAGTTGAGCGAAAGGGCATCATTTGGACCAGCAAATCCAAGCTGAGGTCAAACTGACGGGCCATCTTTTTGAGGTAAAACTCCCACTCGAGACGGTTAGCTAGCGCTAGAAATGGTTTAATTTGCTCGACAAAAATTTCGATGTCGCGCGGCGTCTGAGCGTTTTGGGGACAAATTTTTTGGTAAACAAATTCGAGTCAAGGGGTTTTTTGGCCCGCGACAGCTTTAAGCGTCTGGCCTTGGTCAAGTTGAAAAATTTGGTCTGGATCTTGGCCCGGACCAAGCGGACTAATTTGAACGGGCAAATTTTTCTCAACTAGCCCAGCGATCATTTTTTGCATCGCGTTAAAACCGGCCGCGTCGCCGTCAAGCATCAAAGTCACGCGCACTTGACCAAGCATCTCAAGTTGGGTATTTGAAAAACTCGTGCCCATTAAGGCAACCACGTTCGGGTAACCAATTTTCTCAAGCGCAATCACGTCTAAAAAACCTTCCACGATCAGCACTTCGCCGAGTTTACGAACAAAGCTTTCGGCGCGGTGGAAATTAAAGAGCAGTTTGCCCTTGTCAAAAACGGGACTTTGAGCCGAATTAAGGTACTTGGGTAAAACTTGTGGATCGAGCGTTCGGGCCGAAAAACCGACCACTTGACCGCTTTGGTCGGCGAGCGTAAAAACGATTCGGTCGTTAAAAATGGTTTTTTGATCTCGGTTAAAAACGCCGCACAAAGCCAGCGTTTCGGGCGCGTGCTGGCGACCGATTAAGTAGGTTCAGAGTTGGCTGGAATCGCTGGGTGCGTAGCCGATCTTGTGCTCTTCGATGGCACTAGTCTCAATTTGACGTTCGCTTAGGTACTGACGCGCGTCCGAACCTTGCGAAGTTTGGAGCGCGTTCATAAAAAAATCTTTCGCATCTGACAAAGCGTCCAAGATTTTTTGCTCTTCTGGCGAGTGGTTTTCCAGCGGCCGACTCGGCTTGTAATCAATCCCAGCTAGCGCGGCTAATTTTTCTAACGCTACCCGGAAAGCGACTTTGTGGTAGTCGCTGTAAAAACTAATTACATCGCCGCCTTGACCACAACTAAAGCACTTAAAGATTTGTTTTTGGCTGGAAACAATCAGCGAGGGTCGCGAATCATCGTGGAAAGGACAAAGGGCAACGAAATTGTTGCCCTTTTTAACTAAATTTAACTCTTGCCCAATAACTTGGGTAATGTCAAGCGCTTGACGGATTTTGTCGATCACCGAATTTGACACCTATTACCCCCGGTTAGCTTGGTCGTTGAATTCTAATTCTACCACCATTTATCGTAGGGAATTCCGGTCGTTTTATCATCGTTAGTAACTTCGGCAAAGGCAAATTTGGTGTAACTTTTCTTAGCGAGTTTGACGTTTTTAACTTGCCCGGCTCGGTCGCCGTAGTTAGTGTCGTCTTTAGTGTAGTAGTTATCAATCACTAAACTTCCAATTTCTCAAAAGTCATCGCTCATTTCAAGTATTTGCGAAGGCGTTTTGTTAATTTGGTTGGTTAACAGTTTTTCGCTCAGTTCTTTGATGATTTCGTCAACGTCTTTTTCGTCGGAAATTTTTCGCTCTTGAGTAGTTTGAAAACCGCTAATTAAGACCACTGCCGAAGGGCTATAATCGCCGTGACTAACGGTAACTAGCGCATCAATTTCACCCGTTTTATCTTCCACTCGCTTGAGTTCAAAAGTTATTTTGATCTTCGGGTTAACTTCGGGAAGACGTTCTTTAAACTGCTTACTAATCCCGAGTTGCATTTCGGTTTTGTAGTTCTTTTCCAGTCCAGTGATGCCGATCTCGGAAGGCAAGGTTGTTTTTAAAACGGTTTGGTAAGGCTCGGCGGTGATTTTCGCTAGGTACTCATCAACCAAAGCTTTCATGTCAACTTGATCTTGATCGCCGTCGGAAGTTTCTGGTTGATCCCCCAGATGGGCGCTTGCGTAGTTGGGGATCGGTTTGAATCCGTTGACGGTAAAATCGTGAACCAAGTTGTAGCCGTTAGTTGATTTAACCACCACTGCGCACTCTAGGAGTTCCTGTTTAAAGTCGCGGTTTTTCACCAAAATTTGAACGTTTAAACCAGCCAGTTGAATTTGCTTGTTTGGTCAGTAGCCTTGGATACCAAGGTCGGCTGGGGTGGCCAGTTTTTTTCCCGATGCGTTCACGCCGTAGATTGTTTTATCGGTGTGAGATGTTTGGTAATTAGCTTTAAAACCCCGGATCAGTTTTTGGACTTGCTCACGTTCTTGGGCTGTGATGGCGGGGTTAGAGTTATCGGTCAAGAAGTTGTGGACCTGAATTTTTTGACTGCGGTACTTACCGGCTTTAGACACGATCGCTTTCAAAGTTAGGCTGCCGTCTTGGTCGTTGGGCTTTTCAACTTTAAACTCAAGTTTGCTGCGGCGAACGCCGACGTTATTGACCAAGTTAAGCGTGGATAAATAAATTTCAGAGCGGATGTTTCAGTTCGGACCAAAAACTCTTTTGAGCGCCGCTTGGATCGCCTTGGGATTTTTAGGATCGTACTGCTCGCCGTCAAAACGCGTGTTTTGGTTGTAGATTTTGACGCGGTAAAGGGCGTTTTTTTGTCAAAACGCTTGGGCTCCGACGGTCTGTAAGTTGGGACTTAAACTAACCCGTGAAATTGAATTGCCAGCAAAGGCTTCGGTTTCAAGCGTGCGTAGTTGAGTCGGCAAATATAGGTAACCACCGATTTTGTTGTTTTTAAACGCACCCCAACCGATGTATTCCACTTTGGAGGCGTTATTATGTTGGCTATCGGATGACCAAATCGAAGAAATCTCGTTGTCATAAAACGCGTGGCGTTCAATCGTTCGAAGTTGGCTATCGCTTTCAAAGTTAACTGATTTTAAACGGTTAGACGCAAAAGCGTAAGCACCGATTTTGGTGATCCGACTCGGGATGCGCGGCATTTCTGACAGCCCTCACCCGCGGAAAGTGTCGGGAGCAATTTCGGTTGTATTGGGGAAGTATTCCCAAAAATCCTGGGGTAAAGACTCGATTTTCAGCATCGCTTTACCACTCCCGTTCTTAACTAGGTGGTATTTCTGATCGCGCAGCCACTCCAAAGTTTCCTTAGAAATGGTCAACTTTCCGTTGCTGCTGGGAGTAATGTCGTCGTTTTTAAGGGTGTAGACCTTTAGATCGTGCGGACCGCACGAAAGTGTCAAAGCTACGACCGGCGCAACCGCCAGTCCCAGGGCACTCGTTCTTAGCACTCATTTTTTCAACATAATTATCTATGACAATTATACATGATTTTTAATGTTTTTATACATAATGGTCACTTGTTTCATCGTGTCTCGATCGCGGATTGTCACCTCGCCTTGGCGCTTAGTTTGGTCAATCACGGTCAAACAAATCGGCGTCCCGATCGCGTCTTGCCGGCGGTAACGTTTACCGATTGATCCGCTTTGGTCGTAGGTGCAGCGGTAACCTTGGCTAAGTAGTTCATGGTAGACTGCCTCGGCAACTGGTCCGTGGATTTTTTTAACTAGCGGCAAAACGGCAATTTGGTACGGCGCCAAGTCTTTGGAAAGTTTTAAAACGATCCGCTCGCTCTGGTCGGCTAGTTTTTCGCACGAGTAAGCGTTTTCAAGCAGTGCTAAAGCGAGGCGGTCAACGCCAAAAGAAGGTTCGATTACAAAGGGGTAAATTTTGTCCGATTGACCCGGCAAAGAGTAGCTAAAGTCTTCCTGACTAGCTTGGGAATGCTTTTTGAGGTCGTAGTCGCCGCGGTTAGCTAAACCGATTATTTCTCCCCAGCCAAACCCGAAGTTAAACTCAACGTCAACGGTTTTTTGGGCGTAATGGGCCAGTTCGTGTTTTTCGTGTTCGCGCCAACGCCAGCGCTCGCGGTCAAGGCCAAGCAGATTCAAAAACTCCTTGATGAAAGTTTGGTACTTTAGAAAAAACTGGTCGGCTTGACCAGGCTCGCAAAACCACTCCAGTTCCATTTGTTCAAACTCGCGGGTGCGGAAAATGAAGTTGCGCGGGGTGATCTCGTTCCGGAAGGAACGACCAATTTGGGCGATCCCAAAGGGTAATTCGGCGCGCATTGATCGCAAAACATTTTTGTAGTTGATAAGGATTCCTTGGGCCAGTTCGGGTCTTAAAAAGATGCGGTTTTTTTCGTCATTAACCACGCCCTGGTCAGTTTCAAACATTAAGTTAAACCGTCGGATTTCGCCTCAAATCACTGATTGGCCTTCCCACTTAGTCACTTTTTCGCGGAGAAACTTTTCAATTTGAGCGTGAGTTTGGTTTTGCCAGTTTTGACTCGGATCGATCTGGGCCAGTAAGTGGTCAACCCGGTAACGTTTTTGGTTGAGTTTATTTTCCACGTACCAATCTTGAAAATTTTCGGTGTGACCGGAAACTTTTCAAACTTGCGGATTCATCAAAATTTTGCTGTCTAAACCGTAGACATTGGGCTGGCGGGTGACAAAAAAATTCCACCAGATTTTTTTTAGTTGGTTGATTAAACTGACCCCAAGCGGCCCGTAATCCCAAGCGTTGGCTAGTC